CCCTCGGTGGGAGCGCCGCCACGCTCCCAAGCGGTGCACTGTAGCAGTGCGCCACCGGGCCGGCCCGTGGTTAACTTTTTCTATTCCTACTCATATAATTCCTTTTAATATTAGGAATTCAGAGCAAATGCTCCTTTCTTAGTCCTCATAACATTCTCTTTTTTAGGAAGTGGGGAAAATGTCAACTTAATTTTACAGAAAAAAATCCCAAAAGCTGAATTCCAGAGAGTCAATGAAGAGTGGTATGGGATTGACTCCAGTTTTATATTTTTTATTTATTCTACAGGCATTTTTAAAAGTCTCTGTCATATGCCTAACACTGTGCCTTGAGAGTTACTTTTTTGGAAGACACGATTCCTCACTAAGAAAATCTACTTTGTATTTTACAAGTTTTTCCATCATCTGCAAAAGTGGAGGTATACCCTCAGCCAGTATCTAAGAATATAGCGTAGTTTGCATAATGATTACCAAACTTAAAACTGTAAATGCCATATGCACTTTCGTCAGTGTATCAGGCAAATACAGCACAGACATTTCCTCCGTGGATCAGCTTAAAATTTTCCCTTCTTTCCAGATCCTACATATAGTTGTTTTCTAGAGAAAAATAGAGATGGTTTCAGTACTTGTCCCTATTTGTTTATCATCAGAACTCAGTATCAAGTAAGTGCAGTCTGCCTTATAAGAAAACCAAAATTTCATGATTTATAACTCTTAAGAATGATATTTCTTGTTGTGACTTTCTGATATCCCATCTATAAAGTGGGTATAAACAATACCTCCCTCACAGGGGTGTTGTATTTGTATTAAAATTGTGCTAAGGGGCCACCCAAGCTGCGCACTATAGCAGTGCGCCACCGGGCCGGCCCCCCATGAAAGTTTTTTTATACAGACAAATTCTTGATGTTGTAACTCAAATCCTTAATAAGTACTAACTTTTTATAGTAATTGAGGTAAAAGATAGTTCATGTGAAGAGTTTTCATAATGTAATTTGTATCTTTGTATGTTTTAAACTAAATGTAGGTTTTTAGAATTTTATTATGATTAATTTTTAAATTCTTACGAATGAAATCTGTAACTGATTATTTTCTGCTGTACTTCTGTGTTTTTATGGTTGGACTTTTGAAAATCGGTGAGATTACATACTCCCAGGACTGGATGCCTTAAATTCAAGGAGTCACACAGTGATTTTTGTCTTCAAGACCTGGAAGAATCCATTGTGCTTCAGTGTGTATCTGTGCCCCACTCGACTACTTAGTAGATATTGCTCCAGTGCAGTTGACATCAGCTGTTACCAGCTTCTCTATTTGTGCCAAATAAAGTCATTTAGTCAAAATAGGTCAAATATACACTTAAAATACTTTAAAAGAAACATGGATTACAAAAACTTGTACAATAAAAAAGGCCCACTGAAGAAATCTTCAAAGTACAAGTAACACAGCAAATACAGGAGACCGATGTCAATAATGCATTGTATGAAAAGACCCTCATATCTAATGTACTGGGAATTTGCTTCAGAAGCATTCGTTAAGAAAGTTTTGTACCTTCTAATTGGAATGGGAACAATATACTTCATGTATTTTATCAAGACAAATAAATTAATGTGACTTAGTCATAAACAAAACCTTTTATTAGCTCAGCTTATAGAATGTGTTCTTATTTTACAGCAGAGTCTACCAAATATTGTATTTCTAGTGTGGAGGTAAGTAGTCTCTCTGCTGAGTAACATTTTGGAGGTTACTCTGGATTGACTGTCCCGTCTAAACTCACTGAAGCTTAAGTTGTGTCTCCCAGAGTTCCAGGTACTGAAAACTTGCACCCCACTGTGACAATGTTGAAAGGGTGGGAAATCCTATTATGGTAATCGAAAGGTGGGGACTTACAGAGGTGGTTAGACTCCAGGACCTTGCCATAGTGAATGGATTAATAATGGCGGTCACAGGCGTACTTTTTTTTTTTTTTTTTTTTTTTTTTTTTTTTTTTTTTTT